TTCGCATCAGGGCTTGCAACACACAAAAGCTACATGAGCCGGCACATGTTCTCATTCATGCATGTTGGAGATCGTCGCGAGTGAAACCGAAACACGTGTACATGTCCATTAACTCCTGGAGCTGTCTTCTAACCACGCTCTTTGGAAAAGCTTGCCGTTTGATGAGGCATGACCGCGATCGAAAACCTGCCAAATTCAACCTCCGAGATCCTGCGCAGTTGATCGGTCGATACTGCCAACTTTGGTTCGGAATGCGAAACTCCACTGTGCCAGCTTCAATATCCACCATGCATCCCAACAGCTCACCAGCATCACATGCCTCGAGGACGACGGGATCACGATAGAACATCGGACTCACCAGAGACTGGAATGCATGACTCTGCAGAAAACCCCTTGGGAACACCAGGAACCGGTTGTCGACATACCTTCCAAACCAACACATGGCCTTCCACAACGTTTTTGCAACATCAAAGCTTGCGGCCCACATAGCTTCCTCAACACTGACAGTCAAATCGCACAACGCAGGACTTACCTGGTTCCCAATGGGGGAACCCCATATTTGCCGGAAACATCGGCCCATGATGGTGAACTTGGCGAAAAGGAAAGACAGTGCCACAAGCTGTTTCACGTCTCCTGCTGAAATCTGCCGCGTCACCGCACTCCGAAAGACTCGCGCCTTGCCTCGCAACACCCGGCCTTCTGAGAACTTTTGCCGATCATGTACCGTGAACATGAAAGCATCCGGATGATTGCACGCTCGATTCTGGAAGTACTGCAAAAAGACAAGCTCTACCGCCTTCTGGATACGTTCCACTGGCAACGAGTTGAAAAACCCCAACCAAATCGTCACAAACCACTTCAAACTTAGTGACATCACGCCATGGAATGACAACTTCTCGTAGGTACCCATGCAAATTTGGCCACAACCTGCTCAAACTCAGTCGCGCAAAGGTTTCTGGAAAAACCTCTTTTGTGACTTCACATAGAACAAGTGATGCAACCTTCAACGCGGGTGCCAACATCGACATGCGATACGAGATAATGCTCCTAGCGGCCTGGTAGTCCTTCTGCTTCTTCAGAAAAACGAATGCATGAGGAATGCGTGCCGTCAACCTGACACCCCACGGATGTCTTCGCAACAAGCTCGCAGGTATCTGCTGAGCATCGGTCTGACGATAAACTTGCGGAAGGAAGGGAAGCTCTTCAAACTTCAAACACATCGGCATCCTCGAACGTGGCATGCACTCCTTTCCGAAACAAATCCGGGCAATACACCATAACCTGTTCATAGGCATGATCGCGACTGTGACATACAAGACGAGAGAGATGCTGTTTCACTCGGCACACATCTTTAAATGTAAAGCGATGAGACACAGCTCTCAAATGCATCGGCCATTGTTCTTCAACGAAACCTTCCCAATCAGCAACGACTTGATGGACTGGGCACCTGTGAATGTACCAGCTTGCGCGCGACGCTAAGGAACACATGTTTGCTGGGAAAGATCGTGGCTTTGGCCGAATAGCCGACCAACTTCTTCAAATGCGATGACATGGACAATCGCTCAGCCGGAGATGCAACATGCCCGCCCACGGTCTCCAGTTCTGGATGCTGGCTCAACACCTCTTTGCACTTGCAAAACGATTCCCCAGGCAACGACTCGAATTTGTTAAACCACTCTTTGAAGGAGAACAACATCTTGCCCACGCTCTGATGACTTCCTTCCAAATGAAATGGCAACAACACATTCTGAAACTTGCACCGTACATCCCGCAACGAAGCGACGACAAATCCTGGGAACTTTGAATGAGCAAGAAACGGCACAACCAGAGGTTGATTCCTTCGGGGGCCATCTTGATGTCGAAACTTCAGAACCTCTGCCAAACGACTGCGTGCTCTGGACCTGAATGGCTCTTCCAAGTTGGCCGCGAGCTTATACAACGCATAAACATGATCATCATGCCATCGTGCGGAACCCAAACTACGCTGCATGTTCCATGCTCGACCGTCTCACGACACACGGCTTTGAAAAATGAGCTTGTTGGTTTGCGGGTAGTTCAACCCAGGCCTCCACATCTGCAAAAAGACGTTCTCGCACACACGAGCAGTAACCGCACACGAACAAGGAAAAGAGCCACCGACACGTACTCAAAGAAGGACTTCCGATGAAACCAATCCGGACCGACGGCTCGGCCTGAACTGTAGCGGTGGCGAACAACTGCTTGAATTTCCGGTACCGATCTGCATCACGACGGGCCAGCGTAATGGTGGTAGACCCAACATAGAACATGGAATGTTTCACAGACTTCGAAGACGGCGAAGTGGAAGATACCAATCCATTCCGTGTCGCGGCCAACATCGGAATACGAACATACACAACATGCGGCTGAGAAAAGCCACTTCCTCGATACGTTTCGGGGGACACTCCACACTGCCGAAACCTGTCTTTCCAAAGCTCTAGCTGACGAACAATCTTTTTTGACCGAAACAGCAGCACCAAGAACAACATCCCAGCGAAAAACAACCCAAAACTCGCCAGGACTGATGAGCCGAACGCTGGAGCATACCTCAAGAATTTGAGCATTGCATACCATTGCGCTTTGAAGCGCTCAAAATCAGCTGCATCACACGTCAGAGCTCACTTCGCCATGTGGTGTGCCGCAACGATCACTCGAACAAGATCCTTGTTTGACATACCCACAGACAACTGTACTGGGAGGCCCCACGCGGAAGCAATCTCCTTGACAGATCCGCTTTTATCATCCGACCATGTTTTGACCAATGGCTCAATGGCTCTGTAATCCGCCAAGGCTTGGGACTGAACTTCACTTGGAAGCTTCTTCAACCGCGAGGTTACGGAGGATGTTCCAGCTTTTGCTGGACAGTCAGCCCGTAGCGGCTTCTTGGGGGGATCCAGCTCGAACAACTGATCTTCGGTCACATGGAAATCGCCGGTTTGTTCTAGCCCCTTCTTACCAGCGACACGCAACCTCTTGTTCGCAGGCACGGAAGATTCACCACTGAACTCCTTCCGTTTGGAAGCCTCTCGTTCTGACGTTTGACCCCGGTGAGGTTGCGACTTCAACTCTGCAATCTGCGCCTCAAGGTGACGAATGCGGGCAGTTTGAGACTCCTCAACGGCCGAAACACTCCACTTCTGAACCTGATCAACAATCCACTTCACGAACTTAATTATGGCATCATTCTTGTCTTCGCGAGACAAGCTACCAGCAGACTTTTCAGACAGCTGGTTTTCATGTTGCGCCCATTGGATTGCTGCTGACTCAATGTCGATGTGTCGCGAACGGAGCTCTCGCTGAAAGATGTCCATACACTGACCCTCCCGCACACTACGGGCAAACACCACGGAGGTGTAACACCCGGCTGACAATGCTCGCAGCCCCCAGTTCTCCCACCCAAGCCATGTCAGCTCGGGGAGGGAAATTCCTCAATACGCTTTCCCGCAAGCCCTCACTCACGAGACCACTGCGTTGCTTGTACGGTCTTGAAAAGCTTCCTGCCACCAATCACCCGGGAATCATGACACTCTCTGGTAGATTGGACTCCTCTGGTAAGTCAAGCAAATGGCTTTTCTTTCCATGCGGGGAGAAAGCATCCAATTCTTCGTCATGCACGGAACGACGGCGAGGTACCGGACTGCGAGGTGACGAATACTCATGGCGGACTCTGGCACTACGTAAAGACATGGTCTTTACTGGCCACACAAAAAGGCACGATGGAGGACTTTGGGCCAAACAACAGTTTGGGAAAGCACTCGCAGCGGTCAGTAGCACCGAACGACCATTGCTACTGAACATCACCGACAGATCATGACAGATCCAGAATCATCGCAACACACGAGCCAAGCAAACATAAGACATGCATTGAAAGCATCCTTCCACAGCCCACGCAGTCTTGAACTGTGGATTACTACGCTGCGGTCTGTACAACTGCAGGTCCCACCACTTGCGCCACATCTGGGTTGATGCACCATCTCTTGTTGCGAGGATTGTGAACGACATGACCTCGAGAGCATTCCTGCTGTTCCGCATAAACGCCCCCTTGACTCCACTTTCCGGTGCGGCTTCTCAGTCGCAGCTAAACCGACCACGACGACACCAGCTTGATTCTTACAAGACGCCCAACATCGCAAAATCGGCCACACTCCATCCCCGACATCGTTCGTAGCTGCGCAGAAAAGGGAAATGACCGACGCATCTTTCGATATTCCAAGACACCTAGAAGCCCAACATCATCAGACCCATGAGCGAAAAGGTATGAATGCCAACCACTTCTTGCCAACAACTGCGGGCACCCAAAAGCTGGCTTCCACATATTCATCAAGGGTACGATCCATACTCGGTGATCTTGGTGATGCAAGATTTGGAAATTTGTGGCCACTTCTGATGTCTTGAACCGTGCTGCTGCAAGAAAGGACGTCAACAGATGCAGGTTGCTGCTGGATAGCTTCACACCCAACACCTGCAACATGTTGTCAAGATGGGTTTTCATGGCCATGAAATCGTCATTCACGAAGCCCTTGGAATACCGAATAAACCTTTCGACGGCTGGCAGACTCAGTTTTGTTCTGCCAGACAGCGTGTCAGGATCCATCCCAATATGATGCTTGGCTGGCGGGGCTGCAATGGAATCCGGTGGTTTTGTGCGACGTGGTTTCTTACCACGACTGCCTTCAGCCTCATCTACACGACATGTCCATGCACTTTGGAATTCATCTTCGAATGAAGCTTCGCCGACTGCTGCCGCAATGTTGTCAGGACGATGTGCTGATACTGGTGGGGTGTGGCGCCGCAACAGCAACAGCTTCGGATCACAACTTGGCTTCGGTGTTGCCTTGGACTGCTTTTCAACAAGGTCCGAAACGACAGAATGCGAAGGACGGTGATGAAGCACTGCCACTGATGAAGCTTTCGATGTAGACAACACAGGCACTCCGCGATATGGGTCATGCTCCCTAGCCCAGACAGGTAGGTCTGACCAGTCACCGGGTGCCGGAAGAATTGGCAAACCATTGCTGAACGCCATGCCGACTACAGGCCTTGCAACACACAAAACGAACATGAACACAATACTACACACAACCACTTTTAGATCATTGATCGACCATTCAGTAGTGTAAACGCGTTTGGTCACGAAGTCTGGTCCTGTAATCTGGTCAAAGGATTCTGGTCGATTTTGATATGGTCCCATGAAGCTGGTGAAGATGCCACCAATGTAAGCATAGACTCTTTTGCTGATTTTCTGTAGCGATAATGGACAGCAACGATCTTACATAAACCTTGTCGTCCCCTTCCCTTCATGCACATACGATGCCCATCATGCAACTATGCTCAAGTGACACTCTGCGGTTGCTCCTCAATCCAACAACAAGCCTTGCATGCTGTCGGAGTTACATTCAAACAACTGAAACACCGTTCGCGAGCGTGCTGACTTTCGACACAGAGGCAACATCTTAAGCAAGCATTGCTCCACCACATACACTGGTCATGATCATGTTCTATGCTGGGCGATTCCTGGGACCCTCTGCATAAACGCAGGGAGTTCACGACAAGCACCCTATGAGAAAGCCTGCCGACACTCACACACTTGAGTTGGAGTCAAGCTGACATGGAAATCACGGAAACATGACGTCGCAACCTCAATCAATGGTTCATGGAATCACATGTCGTCGCAATCTCAATCGAATGTTCATGGAATCACATGACGTCGCAATCTCAATCGATGGCTCACGGAACAACATGACGCTGCAATCTCAATCGATGGCTCACGGAATCTATGCATGATCTGCAGGTACGTAGGAGTGGCGTCCCACTCCTATGTCACAGGTCGGGATGGGTGTCTTCATTGGCACCTGACACATCCTTCCCCCAGGTGCCGCCTGCGGAGAAACACTGCTCTGATGGTTGGCAATACACAACATGGCAACGATCGGTTTGGATGAGCGATCTCAAACACATCGAGCAACACTTCACGCGTCCATGTGGTACCCTTCGCATCAGGGCTTGCAACACACACACACACACACGCACACCATGCATCACCACGCTCCAGCCTGTTGCGGCTCCCGAGCTGGATCCGGGCGACGGAGGCTGCGCGCCAAGTCCTCGCAGCTCAGCAGCCCCTCGCCTCAGCAAGGAAGCATCTACCACGAACCATCTTTCCGAAAGCACACAGCACACAGCGTTTCTGACCCTGATGGTGCTTTTTTATTCCTAAGCTCCCAACGATCGGGGACAACTTCTTGCAAGATGTCCTGACCGAGTCGTCCGGAGCACAGGCAACAAACTAGGCGTGCAATCCCTGCCTGGAGCATGTCCACGGTGAAACGATCGCCTGAAGCACTCTGGGAGAATACACCCTTGACATTGTAAATCCCAGCAAGATCCTGAGGCAGCTGCAAGGCTCGACGGCATGTATTGTAAGGCTGCTTCGCAGTACTTCACTGACCATGCAACAGCCGGAGAGTCTAGGCCGGTCTATGCGTCGCTTATTGACTTCGAGAAGTCTCTAGTAAGAAAGGATTGGACTCGCCACATGCCACCCAGCTAAGTCCTTTGTCTTATTTTCAGCCAACTTCATAGTCAAAGGTATAGCTGAAAGTGAAACTAACGGGCTGCCTTATGAGCTTGCCGCATTAATGACAGATTCATTTCTGACTTCTGAAGGAAGTTGCAACCCTACTTGCAGCTGAATGCTCTGGCCTTTAAGGTTCCTGACGATGACGCGGAGAGCGTCCTTGGAGATCCTCCGCGTGCCCGGGCCACCCTGGCAGAGGAGAAGCGGATAGAAGCGGGCAAGAAACAGTCCTTGCTCGCTTTTTTGTTCTCCGGCTCGCCGGCTTCATGAAAACCCGCATTGCAGTCCGAACACACAGACGCTACAACAATCGACCCCGAGTCTGCCTTTCACCAAACAACAAACCGATTGCAAGAAGCAACAAAGGCGGATGGCTCAGCAGGGTGGAAGAAAACCCAAATCAGCTACTCCATTCGAGGTCATAAGCAAAAACAATTCCGGCTCATGTCCAACTCACCAAGAAACCCCCGCGCGAACTGTCACCTAGACAGAGCTACAGACCGAGCGGACACCGCTCTGCCTGAACTGCCTGAAACTGATGCCATATATAATAATAATTGCAGGGTTTGGTGTTGGCGTCACCCGCCCTCGAGCCCGTGGCACCAGCTGGATGTCCGCATCTTCGAGGAAGTCTGCCAGCCCGTTCTTGTCCGCGAGGTCGTACTCCTTCGCCTGCACTGCCGAACTCCGGTGCCCTCTTTTTGCAAGAGATGGTGGGGATGCGGAGCGCCTGCCCTGCTTTGGAGGTGCCTGGATCGGACTGGTCGCATGAGCCTCTCCTCAGCAGAGCATCGAGCAAAATTGTCCAACATGTCGAAAGGAAATCCTCGCCTCATCTCCCGTTTATGAGCGTCCAGCCGAAGCTTGCTGGTCTCCCCCGCTGTCTCCTCCATCTGAACCTGCAGCTTGGGTGTTCGACTACCGTGCCCACTGAGGGAATGTGGCACCGGCAAAGCTGCAGAGACTGACGTCGTCTTGGTCGGAAAGGGATTGTTAACCCCGGGCCCCTAGCTATGCTTGAAGCAAAGCAAAGCTAGCCTATCGACATACTGGAATATATTATAGTATAATGTAATACACCAATTTTTTTTGAATGTACCATGGTATACCTTGACATAGTGCCATTGTTTGCAGTAAGTCTGTCCCTCACAAATCCTCGCCTCAAAGCTCCAAAGCTCGAATGACTTCGAAACACGGAAATCCAAACACGCAGCCCTACAGCGCTCAAGTCCGGTACAATTATAAAAGCTGCTAAGACAACGGGCTTCATGGGCTTAAACCACTAGCTTCAGAGACTAACCTCATGTTTTGGCGGTCGGACCCCCGCGCTAATTGTTGATCATTACTTCTAAAATGACGAACCCGTGCTTTCTTGGATCGCTGAACGTGCGTCTTTCACGGGGCACAGGCCCGAGCCGAAGAGTGTATCACTGACTCGTATACTTCTCCTTCAACCCAGCACGTGTTGCATCTATCTAGCTCATCTGGGAGATCTTCGGCGCTACCTAGGAGGCATTAGGCAAAGGCTCAGCTCGATATCTCGGTTCATGATCTGGACACCTGCAGACCCCTTGGCGAGCATTCGCCGCCTGCCGATGCCAACCATCGCCCCATGTGTACATGTGCAAAGGATTATACGGTATAATCCCTCTGCACCGTCTGCACCCCATGGAACCCAACCACATCCTCGCACCTGTGACGAAACGATACACTTCCTACAGGTTGTGCTTTGGCATCGAGACGGTAAGCTTTGGAACATTGGAACCATGGAAAGTCGTTGTGGGCATGACCTCAACCACTGGAGCTCAGTATGCTCAGCCGGGGCCTCTTGAGGCTCGCCGGGGCGACCCGAAGAGCAGCATGGGAAGGCCCGGCCCAGCAGGCCCCCGCCGGGCTGCCCGCGATCGCTTGCCCGCTGAAGGCACCGGAGGAGCTTCCGGCAGCTCAGTAGGCCGTCGCCTGGGCTCTGGTTTTGGCGATGTTCGGAATCATCAGCCTGGATTCTGTGTCTCATCTGTGCCTGCAAGAGAATATCCTGGTCATGGAAGCCTCCTGACACATCGTGAGCTCACCGAGTGTCCTGCTATCGGTGGGAACTTCCTGCAAGATGCCCTGGGCTCCAGATGCCAGAAACAGGCACAACGGAGGCCGACCTGCGCGCGCTTTCTGCGTGGGCCTGGAGTTCCTCCTCGGTGATCGAGTTGCCTTGACCAGAGCTCACCGATCCCCCCACCAGATGCACGAAAGTGCACCGGCCTCGAAGGCAGACAATGAAGTCGGAGAAGGTCACTACCGACACTCTTTCCAGCTCAAGGCCAACCTGGCGAGCGGGAATTCGGAATACTGCTTGGCTGCAGCTCCTTGGCTTGAGGCTGTCCTTCGATGCTGGAGCGCCGCTCTGAGAATCGGAGTCTGAAGCAATCAAAGCCCATGCCGGAACTTCTCTTCACAAAAAACTAGCACCGGGACCCGAAAAATCTGCGGCGCAACGATCCCGGCTGAAGACAAGAGAGCGAGAAAAAAAAGGAAACGACTGGAAGGCCTCACTCGCCATGGGAGCTTTGACCCTCGGCCGTGTTTGGGGAAAGCGCTGTTCTTCAGGAAGACGAGTGGAGAGTGAGTCTTGGCTGCGCGTTTTGTGAGAGGGTACCGGTCTCTGTTGGCGGAGGACCGTGCGGAGTCGGAGATGCGGGCGGTGGTGACTTGCCTTTGAAAAGTTGAGACTTCTTGCGGTGCCTCCTGAGTTCGTTTCGGTCGGTGGACCTGCAGAGGCTTCTCGTGGTTTCTGGTCAGCATGAGGCCTCCGACGAAAGCCACTGAATCCAATTGCTCCAACCGAAGCCCACATCCGAACTGCATAATCTGCAATCGGGCTCCATTACAAGAACGAGCACCGGCGAAGAAGCCCTACCAAGCCCGAAGCGCTCAGCGAGAGGGATGCTTGGACAAGCCTGTGAGCTCGTTCGCAACACTTCCGGGCCGAGGTTCGGATGCTAGAACAGTGTCCGACCCGGTATCCTGAGAAGCAAAGCCCTCCACACCTAACCACGAACCCACCAGGCCCCCGGCCCCCGGCACCTTCGGCTTGACCCAGGCCCGGCAGCTTCGGCCAAGGCCTGCTCACCGACAGGCCGGATGTTGAGTTGTTCAGAGGCCTGTCAGGGTGCCAAAAACAGCTGGTGAGAGGCTTGGCGAAAAGTCGGAGTTGGCAGCGGTACTGGCAGCATAATATACTATAGAGTATACTCGAGCTATACGATAATAAACCAAAACTCTACCAAGAATCCTGCTGGCCTTGGCTCTCCGGCTCCGCTCTCCGAGACGCTGTCGGTCCCTTTGGAAGACGAAGCAAAGGAGTTTTTTACATACAAAACGGTATAGGTCCTTGTTGCATCCGCCTTTTATAACTGACTTATACTGACTTCGTGTTAAATCTGTTGCAGTGAAGGTTGCGTCTCATCACCTGCCACGATGGCTTCTGTCGGTTGCCGGCTAGCAATTAGTGTATGGTAATAACTGCCAGTCATGGATGGGCGTGGGGCGCTGCGAGCCAAAGCGACCGTCAGTTCGTTGTTTGCCGCCGTTCGATGAGCCAATGCGTCACAGTGCTCTCGATGGCGACTCCTGGAAAACAGTGAACAACAGACATCTGCGCTGAGGGAGAGCCTCGGGAGTGTGCGGGGGCCTCCACGCCCAGGTAAACGAACACTGACACTGAGACAAGTATGAATCCTCGAGGGTAGCAGTTGGTGGATGCGTTCCTGCGCGGCCTCAACCACATGCAAAACAAGTCGAAGTTCCGAGACTAATCTAATCATGGCAGTTTCCGTGTTCATGGTACAAGATTCTGATAGACTCGACAAGTTCTGGCAGATGTCTTGAGGCTCTCCGGCCCCGTCCCGCCTTCCAAAACCACACTTTTTCATCGCTGAAACGTCGGCTCTCATCGCAGCTGGGCAAGCCAGTCCACAGCAGGCCGCTGGGCCCGCCTCGGGCTGCTCAAGAATCAAGGCTCCTGTGGATCCGTATGCGATCTTCCACGTCTTCCATGGACGCACTGAGGCACACTGCGGCACAGCAGCCCCAAACGCAATGACCGCAGAGGAACCCGAAGAAAGGCCACGATGACCCCGACGGAAGAGGACGACCCTAAAGCCAAACCCTGAACCCCAATTCCTAAACCCTAAAAGCCCTAAACCCGTGGAAGAGAAAACCTTCCGCCTGGCTTTGAGGGGAGGCCGTTTTCGGGAAGAAAGGATCGCATGTCGATTTAGAGGTTGAGGAGGTGGTGCTTTGCCTGGGTTCCCTGATGTTCCTTCGTGGAGATTCGGTATGCCGCCTCCGACCCAAAGCTTTGACACTACGTAAGTGCTGGATCTAATGAAAGACCGCTCAGCCGAACCCCCTTTTACAATCTCACCTGTGGGTTCCCTGCGTGTTTTATGCCTCAAAAAATGTATGCGACTACCACAACAAACAGCCTACCAGGTCGAGCCTGGCCCGAGCTTCCACCGCCAGATTCACCGAAGACGTCGGGGATCGTCACAGGAACCGTTTGGGATATTCCCCTGGGCCTTGTCACGCTTTCTTGGGGGTTTTGGATCGAAAGCTGAGGTGGCCTCTGCTCTATGCACACAAGCCAAAGAGCAGCCAAACAACCAACCACCCCCGAAGGCCTCGAAACTTCGCAACTGCCACGAACCCTGGAGGCCCCCGGCACCTTCGGCTTGGCCCAGGCCCGGCAGCTTTGGCCAAGGCCTCTGCACCGGCACGCCGGATCTGAAGCGAAAAGACATATCCTAGCACTTCGAAGTCGGCTCGCGGAGAGCGAGCCGGTTGCACGTCTGGCCTTGTCTCTCTGGTTGGGAGGCCAGGAGAAAGAAAAATGGCCCCGCCCCTGACGCTACCTTGCTGTAGATTGACTTCATGCTTCTGTTCAACCAGCCATCAGGCACAAAGGCTGTTGGATGATCTCTGAGCCTTTCTTGGGGGCTGTTGCACATGCTTTCGCACTTGAGCCGCGCGAGAGCCTCAGAATGCATGGATGCACCTCCGGCGGAGCCCCTCTTCTGCCTCGGGCGCTACACCCTGGGGTCGGTGCATAACACCGAGTGCTTCAATCACGAAGGTTTCGACTTGACCCCGGCACTCCAAGAAAGCTCGTCAAGTTGCAACATGTTCGGACTGCAGCACTGGTGCAGGCGCAGCGACCCGCGACCTCTGCTGTCTCTGCCGGCAAACTTCCCAAGAAGCGCTCAGGAGAAAGGCCCGCGGCAGCGCGCCGAGGCCGAGGCCTCCCAGCCAGTAGTCGAAGAACGACCAACGTCGGACAGCACTGCGGACCCATCTCAAGCCCCGAAACATCAGAGCCCCAAGCTTCTGCAGGACTTGTGGTCCTGCCAGAGGACTGCAATTTCTCAGAAAGACACCTTGGGGTTTAGGGGGTCTTCAGAGGGGTTAGAGGTTTAGGGTTTAGGGTTTAGGGATTGGAGGTTTACGGGTTTTAGTTTGGCTCAAGCGCCTAATACTCATGAATCCGGACACCTTGTCCCCACAGTGCCTGGCACACTTGCTCTCACTGCTGGCTCCGCAGCCCATACGCTGGGAAGAACACTGCAATGTCCAGGGCACCCTCGATGATAGCTTTGTGTTGAGGATTGTTATTTCAGCATGTCACTATTTGACACCAGCTCCTTGATTCGATTCGCTTGGACATGGCATCAGGCACTAAGCCACACAATTTGGAGTTCGAGCAGCACGAAGTTTGTGGAGTCGCATGTCAATGACCTACTCGGTGCTTGAGGGTTCAAGGTCAGGGCAGGCATCGAATACTCGAGCATGTAAGCCAAATATTCAGCTGCATCCTGTTGCTGTGTGAGATTGGGTTCAGCAGATGATCGAGTTTCTGAGCTTTACAGGGCTGTTGTGTTGAATGCCTTGTGACAGCACTTGAGCGGCACGAGACATCATAAACGGAAGGACGCAGCTCCGGCGGAGCCCCTCTTCAGCTTCGGACGCTACACACTGGGGTCGGTGCAAGACACCGAGTGCCTCAAACCCGAATTCCGCTTGACCTGTGTGTTAGCGTCGGATCCTGACCCCAGTCCTCAAAGGTCCCAAGCCAGCAAAGACCCAAGACCAACACCAAAGCAAGACTGCAATGCTACGGCGACAAGCTTGAATGCTCGGACTCCACCAAATCTTTCACATCGCGACTTTCTGCTTTTTCAGATCCGAAGCGCTCGGGAGAAAGGCCACCACCAGCGCGCGGAGGCTGAGGCCTCGCAGCCGAAACAGTCGAAGCCCCGAAGTCTCGCACAGAAGCCACGACCGCACTGCCCCGGCCGGGCCTCGGATCAAAGATAGAGGTGTTTCTGACGCGCCGGCAGCGCATCGAAGGTGGCTCGGAGCTTCTTCTTCTCCTCTTTGCCTGGGGCGTGGTTTTTGTGTGGCAAGGTCCAAGATGCTTTGACAAAGCCCCCGAGGCCCGGGCCGAGCTTGTTGCCATGCAGCCAAACCCCGACCTTCGCGAGCTGCGGCAGCTCTCGAAGGCTCTCAGCCACAGCGGTGGCGCCGGCAGTGCCTCGGCCGGAGGCAGGCAGAGCCTGCCACTTCCAGTAGAATCTGCGGTAGAGCGAGTAGAAGGAGTGGGAGTGGACATCGGCAGAAACCCGTCTCTTCAAACTTCGGCGTGGGGATTGGGCTCCACTGAGAACAGGGATCCAAGGCTTAGATCGCCTGAGCGTGGTTTGAGGGGCAAGGCCTAGGGCCGCTTAACAGACCTCGAGGCCCCGGGCCGAGCGCTTTGTCTTCCAGCAAAACTGTGAGCACCGTGAGCTGCCGCAGACTGCGCAGGCTCTCAGCCACAGCTGCGGCGCCTGCATCACCTCGGGCGACAGAGAGATGAGCCCCAAGATCCCCAAGCTGCCGCGCTCCGCCCCCCGGGTCGCCAAGGCTAAGAGCACAATGATCCGCCGTCCATGCAACTGCAGCTCTCGCGACTTCTTCGGGGTCCGAGCAGAGCGCCCTCCGAGGCCCCGGGCCGATCTCGTTCGAATTCAGGTTCAACACGAGCTCCTTGAGCTCCGTCAGCCGGGCGAGGGCGGAGGCCACGGCCTTTGCGCCCTCCTTGCCTCGGTGCCAGCAGGGGCGTGACTGCTCAAGTGCCGCTTCCAGCTGCCCCTTCAGCTGGAAAAAGTCGCGAGGCACAGCGGAAGGGAAGGAAATTGGCGGCCTTCCCGAAGGGACGGGAACGGGCATTTGGGCAGGAGGGTTTTCGGAATCGAAATCTCAAGGAAGCCGCCGTGTGAATCCAAGACT